CTGGAAGAGCTGTACGGCCTGGCGCTGCGCTTCTTCAAAGGTGAGCCGACCGGCCCCGCCCCGCCGCCGCTGCCGGGCCACGGGAGCCCGGCCCGGGTTGTGGCCCCCGGTGGGGCCGGACCGCCTCACCCTCACCTTACCGGGCCGCGGCTACCGGAGCAGGGCTCCGCCCTTGGGGGGACCTGAAGTTTGTCACCACCTTCTTGGCCGCGGGGTCACAGCTCTGAGGGGCCTGGAACCTTGGTTTAGCCGTCCGAGTCCCGCCTCCCGGAGGTTACCCGGGGCGTTTTACCTGATTTAGCTTCTCAGGTTTCCGTGAGCTGGGATGGAAGAATGAGCCCTCTCTCCCCCAGAGGGTCCCATTCTGGAATTTATTTTTATTTTTTAACTATTTTAAAATTATATGTATTTTTTTACAGTTGCACCATTGTTTCTGTGTCTAGCATGGCACATCACACCCCACCGATTTTTACCTTTTTCCCATAGTGGAAGAAATCTTTTCCAAAGGTTCCTGCAGACCCTTTGCAGTCATTCTGGGGAACCACACACTCGAGTAGGGTTTGATCACCCGGCAGGATTGATGTGGCAGAGAGGAGGAAGTATTAAGCGGACACATTCCCTCTGGCTTGTCAGACTCTAAAGAGAAAGGGTGCCCGCTGTGTCCTAGTAACTTCTAGAAGGTTAAGTTTTTACCTTGTAAGCGATACGCCAAGAGTGAGTTCTTCGAGTAAGGTTTAAAAGTGCCCTGCGAGCTCCTGGCAGGATTGTAAAACGTGTCTCGTCTTAGAGCGAGAGTGTGGCGTGTGGGGTTTTTTAATTGGGTGATTCACTTAGCCCAGTGGTGGTGATACCAGTCACAAGATCTCTTCAGTGGGAAAGACTGATGAGAAAGACGCCCGTTAGTTTGATTCTTAGAGATATTTAGATCCCGTGGGCCAGCTGGGCCACGAGAAACATCAACAAATGAAACTTTAAGAGTGGTTGCTAGGCTCCCTACACATTCCAGAACAGCATATTTATGACACTTCCCAGAGGGAGTACCTTTTGGAGTACATATTTTACTAGCTGAAGTTGAGTAGTTCATTGTAGTGATACATGCAGAAGTTATTTCCTTTTTCTCAGATTAACTTTAATTGTGCAAATTAATGAAAGTTTCTCTTATAAATTTTCCAGAACAGTCGATCATTCCACAGTCATTGCACTTTTTGTTTAAACGTTTACCCTTGAAATACTTATCTTTGCACGATGAATCCAGCCGTCTATGCCCTACCTAGCCTGGGAAAGTGGAAACAGCAGGTTTTGGATCACTTCACCCTGGACTTTAGAGTTTCCTGTAATGATGATATATTATCACATACCTAAAATCCTGGTGGTTTCTGTACAATTACTATAACTACATTTTACCTTAAATTTTTATTCTTAGAACTTTTCCAGATTCATAAGGTTAAAGTATATTGTAGCAGAAGTATATAAGGATAGAGAAGAACCAACTTCTAATCCTAGCTTTTGCTACAAGACTAACAAAAAAGTAAATGGGTAATTTCGTCTCTGAGCTTGTCTTATTTGGAAATAGTAGTAATATCTTCTTCGAAAGATTAAAACACTGTATAATGTGCAGTAAATTTAGCATTGCTTTGGAGTCAGGAAGCCCTGGATTCCATTTACTGTGTAAACTCCTGGACAATTAACTTTTCTAGACTCAGTTTCCATCCATTTATATCTGTGGAGCTGGATTAAATGAAATTTGATGCCTCAGATTTAAGATTTAGTGGTCTAAACCTAATATTTTGCTGAGTAGTAGGACTCCTAGGGGAACGTGTAATTTGAGGGCCTAGTTATCAGTCACCTTAAAGAAGAAAAGCTACATTGATAGGTATGGTTCACTCCCTTCCTAAGTTAGGCTTTCAGAGCAATATCCAAGAACTTAGAAGGAGAAATAGCAGTAAAGCAATCAAAAGCTACCCTCTGTATGAATTATTATGTAGTTAGCAGTGAGGAGGCTGTTAGTATGAGATGCCTAATTGGGGGAGGGGAGGAAGGATCTAAAAGTAGTCAGAATTGTGGGAAGCAAGGTGAGTAACCTGTTGCTGCCTTTGTTTTAATGTGAAATTTTCTAGTGTAACTGGTATTTTTATCAGTCTTGCAAGGACTTCTAATAGATCACTATTTTGTGGCTTTGTACTAGTGTCTCACAAGAATTAGCAATAACATTACGCTTTATCTTGCACTGTGGAATAAATATGAATCTTGAAAGCATGGATATCTTTTTCCATTGAAAATATTTTGGATTGGGAATCAGGAACCCTGTTTCTCATTCTATCCCTGTCACAGTGGTCATAAGCCAGTGACTGAACCCATTATGCCAATTACCTACCCTTTTAATCTTATGACTGTGAAAGTAAAATAATAAGATGAAAATACAGGTCAATGTAAGTTAGCATTTCACCATCTAAACTTCAGACATTGTCAAGTCCTTATTATGGATAAAGTTTCATATTAGGTTACCACTATAAATGAATAGTACATTCCCTTTTGCTATTAAGGAATTTGCTATTAAGGAAGCCAAAAGAGGAGTTAAAGACCCAGTGACAACTGCAGTAAGTGGAGGATTCAGGGAACAAATGCCATTCTAGAGAGGGAAGGACAAGGCATGTGTGTCTGGGAAATGGCAAATAGAATGTAGTTCAGTGGAGATGGAGAGGTAAGTTGTCAGATCCATGAGCTGATTTGAATGCCATTGTAAATAGCCTTTTTGTCAGTACACAGTGAGGAACCATTGAAGGTTTCAAAGGAAGGAATGAAGTTGCCCAATTCTAGTTTAGCAAGATTAAGCTGGTTTTCTCACCTCTGGGTTAAGTACTAATCGGTTGGCTTTATGGTAGCCTTCATACTTTTTGGATGAAGTTAAACCTGGAGAGTTGTACTTTGGTTTTTAGAGTTCTTGGGGGTGAATTTTTCCTTCTCTAACACTTTATTATCTCATTACATTAAGCTGGTAGATAGTTGCATGAATTTAAAATTCCAGAGTAATAATTGCCACCAGTTACTCAGCAGATGTTCACTAAAAGTCTGGTACTATTTTGAGAGCTGTATACACATTATTTTCTTTATTCCTCCACAAGCCCTTCAGGGAGGGTATTATCCTGATTTCTGTTGAGGAACTTGCCCAAGGCCACTCAGTTATTATTAGTAAGAGGCAGGGTTGGTTCTGTGTGATTCCAAAAACAGCCCTTCCCACAACAGGAGATGGACAGCAAGTAGCAACCCTGGTTTCTGGTGGTGTTCTGAGGGAATACTTTATTTTATTTTATTTTTTAATATATATCTTTATTGATTTCAGAGAGAGGAAGGAAGAGGGAGAGAGAGATAGAAATATCAATGATGAGAGAGTTGTTGATCAGCTGCCTCCTGCACAGCCCCTGCTGGGGATCGAGCCCGCAACCCGGGCATGTGCCTTGACCGGGAATTGAACCCTGACCTCCTGGATCCTAGGCCTACGCTCAACCACTGAGCCTCGTCCGGCTGGGCTGAGGGAAATACTTTAAAGGTTCTATCCTGTTGCCTTATCACATCTTGGAACTTCTTTTTTTTTTAAATTTAATTTTTTGGGGTGACATTGGTTAACAAAACCATACAGGTTTCAAGTGTATCACTCAATAAAACATCATCATACTGCATCGTGTGCTCATCGCCCCAAATAAAGTCTCTTTCCATCCCATTCATCCCCCTTTTGCCTCTCCTACCTCCCACCACCTTCCTTTCCCTCTGGCTGTCACCATGCTGTTATCTGTGTCCTTTCACCATTTTCACCCAACCCCACTCCCTGGAACTTCTTTAATATATTTGCTTGAAATATTAAGGGCTGATAGAAAGATTTATTTTGTTTTTCTACACACAATCACTTTATTGCGAACCGCTTCAGCTCTCTGGAGAAGTAAACCGAGAGAAAAGCATCTACTCTGAATGCCTACATAACATTGCTGTCAGGTTTGGAATATTGATTGTAGTGGGGAGGAATCCCCTCTAAAGGACTGAAGTAAATGTGCCCATCAAAAATATTGGTATTAATAGTATATTCCTATTAATGTACTAGTAGGCCTTTTGGGAGGCCTGCATTTAGCTAACCTAATGATTGTTTTTTACTCATGTGCATTGAAAATGAATGTGTTTTAATTCATTGAGGATTGAATGTTGATATTCTAATTGTCTTCCCTTCACTGTAATACTTTTCCTCATATAGCATATGGTTTGGGGTACAGTTCAAATAGGAAAGGAACAATAAGTGCTTCTTTCCCTTTATTAGTTTTCAAAATAATGAGTGTCCCTGCCAGCAGGGCGTGGCTCAGCGGTTGAGCGTCGACCTAGTATCCAGGCGATCGGGGTTTGATTCCTGGTCAGGGCACATGCCCGGGTCGCGGGCTCGATCAGTGACTCTCTCATCATTGATGTTTCTATCTCTCTCTCCCTCTCCCTTTCTGTCTCTGAAATCAATAAAGATATATTTTTTAAAAAAATAATAATAATGAGTGTCCCTAACAGCCTCAAAAATTGACAAATTTTTTTTAATTAACAAATTATTTCCAACTTAGTGCTTTTTTGTTTTGTTTTATTGATTTGAGAGAGAGAGAAACATCAATGGTGAGTCATTGATCGACTACCTCCTGCACACCCCCTACTGGGGATCGAGCCTGAAACCCAGGCATGTGCCCTGACCAGAAATCGAACCTGTGATCTCTTGGTGCATGGGACAGTGCTCAACCAACTGACCCACACAGGACAGGGCAAGATGGTGATTTTAATATTTCTAAAAGATGGATTTTCTTTAAAGTGTATCCTCTGTGAGGCAACAGTGTATAAGGGCCATGAAAGAAAACATTTTATTTTAAGCTGCTGTGGTAGGATGAGTGAAGGGGGAGATGGTTTTGCTCTCCTCTGCACAGATCAGACAATCCCTGGGTACTGCTTTCACTTTGCAGCAGCATCCGTTGGGTTATCTTCTGTTCATTCAGAAGAGAGCAACTTGTACAGTGTGGGAATTCAAATCCCTGCCCTCATTATCATAAGAGCTGCTGTTTAGCCAGTGTCTGCTCTGCAGGCACTATACTGAGACTTTGGAGCATATTATTTCCAACCCTCACAAGAACCCCAAGGAGAAGTTAGTATCTCCATTTTATTGATAACAACACCAAGGCTCGGGAAGGTTACATAATTTGTCCATGTTATATAGTTAGAAAATAGCAGAGCAGGGATTTAGGAGGTAGGAGTGAAAAGGCTGTGTATGTTTAGCCTAGAGAGCTCGGGGCAAACATGATGGACATTTTGCAGCCTTTTTTTTTTTTAAATACTCACCCAAGGATATGTTTATTGATTTTAGAGAGAGGAAGAGCAAGAGAGAGAGAGAAACATCAATGTGAGAAACACCAATTGGTTACCTCTCATAGGTGCCCCAACTAGGGACTGAACCTGCAACCTAGGTATGCACCCTGAGAATCGAACCTGCAACTTTTTGGTGTACAGGACAATACTCCAACCAACTGAGCCACAACAACCAGGGCTTTTGTGAGGTCTGATCTGTTAGATGTGTTTTATTTAATGCTAAAGACTAGAAAGAGATCAACTCAATAAAGAAGTAAAAATCACATCTATCTGATGATGGAATAGACTGCTTTGGGACAATGAATTACCACCACCAGGAAGTGTTCAAGCACAGGTTAACAATTAGTAGGTGGATATGCTTTGATTGCTTTTGTGTATCTACTACAGGTTTTTTCCTTTGTGGTTACCATGAGGCTTATATAAAGTATTTTATAGTTCTAGTTTAAGCACATAATTTCTGCAGCATACAGAAACTCTATACTTTTATTTCTCCCTCGCATTTTAGGTTATTGACATTACAGTTTACATCTTTTTTATATTGTATATGTAGTAACAGATTACTGGAGGCCAAGTAGATATGTAGGGCAGATTTGAGCTTTGGTTGTGCAATTCAGTCACCTGTCTTTAATATCCTTTCCAACCCATATATTTTATGGTTTTCATTTCATCAAGTAAAAGGCTAGATGGGACATTGAAATAATTTGTTATATCCCTCTACCTTTACCTCCAGACAGAAGGGAAAAATATGATTTCTCTGTAAACTTACTCTAGCAATTGAGGTGTGAGACTAATAACCTTGTGTATGATTAATTTCAGGTGGAAGGGTCTTAATTTTAATCTTCCAGACCTTTGGGCTTGGTAACTGGTTATAATGCCATCAAAATATTTATGCTGTCTATTAGAACTGTAAAGTTAAATACTTATGACTTTAATACAAACATAATCTAAAAGTGATTTCTATTTTTAATTGCTTGGGAAAATGTATTTTGTGTATTGTATTGGTTTCCTATTGCTCCTGTAATAAAGTACCAGAAATTTAGTGGCTTAAAACTCCTGCCTTATAATTTTCGGGGTCAGAAGTTCAAAGTGGGTCTCACTGGGTTAAAAAAAGGGGAGAGGTCAGCAAAGCTGTGTTCCTTCTGGAGGCTCTAGGAAACAGTCTGTTTCCTTGCTTTTTTAGCCTCTAGAAGCCACCTGCTCTTGCTTTGGCTTTATGGTTCTTTCTTCCATCTTCAAAGGTAGCAAGCAGCATAACATCTTCAAATCTCCCTCCGACCCTTCTTTATTTCCATTTATAAGGATCCTTGTGATTACACTGGGCCCATGAGGGTAGTCCAGGGCAAGGCAGTTGAAACCTTAATTCCCCTTTTTCATATAATCTAACATATCCACAGATTTGGGATTAGGATGTAGACATCTTTGGAGGGGTATTATGCCTACCACATGTTATAATATCTTATTGTTACTGGACAGGGGACCTGGCCCTGAGTGGGTCTGCCTGGGGCCAGTCAGTCGTGTGTGGGTTCTTGACTTTGTGCAGGAAATATTTCCCAAGACAAGCCCAAGTGATCCTGAGAGTACATGTATTAGAGCTGGGGACAGTGAAACAAGAAAGGGTTTAGCATAGAAGCAGTAGCCAGAGAGCCTAGGCTTGGCTACCTTAATTCACTGGGAAGTCAGAGACAAGAGGACGACCTTGGGGACAGGTTCAGGGGAATTGCCTGGGAGGAGCTGCCACTGTCCTTTGCTCCCCTGGTTGCAAGTCTCCTGGGGTCCCTTAGAGTTTAGGAGATTTGTGCATGGGGGGGGGGGATGGCACGAGCTGCGCCCCAGAGGGAGAGCTCACGCTGGGTCCTTTATCTTGAGGCTTTTATCCCTCTCTTACAGGTAGAATTTTAGGGGAGGTCTCCTGAGGGTTTCAGCAGACTGTTCATCAGTTTTCCAGTTGTGCTTGTTCAAGTCCGTGGTCTCCACCTGATTCAGGGCAGGGGGTTGTTAGTCATCACAGCTGGTCCTGGCATCTCCCACTTGGTTTTGCTGCTTTTCTGGGCCTGGGGCTGAAATACAACTGAGGCCTATGTGTTTTCTCTAGGGAGGAGACCTTCTGTATATGCTCTAAATTGCTCTGCCAGCTATCTGTCTCGGTTTCCCTATTCCACTTTGCCTGGCTCACTGGCCTGTCCCATTATGAACTGACTACTGAAATTGAGCATATTATGAATTTACTCATTTGACCTTTTTATCAAAGTGGAAACCAGAGCAATTTAAAAGGTCAAGTTGCCCTATAAAATTAAAAATAGCCATCCTTATTTCTCTTTTCCTACCTCTAAGACCCCCCCCCCAACCACTTTAAATTATTTTGACTGTTTATTCTGGTATTTGTCTTCATTACTTATATGTGTGTTTTGCTCTTCCCCCTTCCCATACTCCCTGATTTTATGATAACCACATTTGTGATTAAAATCAGTGCCAATTGTTTACATTTGTATTCATAGATGAGGCAGGTCAGTACTTTGATTATATTTTGGTTCTTATGCAAACCTTTTGTCTTTCATATAGTTAAAGGCAATTACTATTTGTTTTCTCTGTCTTTAGGTACTTTTTTAAAAACATAACTCTCTTAGATTTCCTTAAATTCTTGATCCAGTCTTAGCTTTTCTGCCTTCTGAGTCTGCCACCCAACTATCATCCTGGAAGTTACCTTCACCTCTCTGTGGTATTGGATTCCCTTTTCCTTGAATCCTTTGTTTTCCTTTGTTTGGAAATGCCTACCCCCTGGTAGCTTCTTGAGAATAGAACACTTAGAAAGTAAAATTTTGAAACCTTGCCTTTCCAAAAATTTGTTTATTTTTATTGTTATATCATTTGATTTGATTGGGTATAAAAATCTAGGTTGGAAATAATTTCCCCCAGAATTTCAAGGTATTATTACATTGTTTTCTAGCTTTCAGTATTTGTGCTCTTAAGAGGTCTGTAGATCTCATTCTTGAGCTACATCCAGATCTTGGCTATTGTAAATAATGCTGCAATGAACAGAGGAGTACATATATTCTTTCCAATTAGTTTTTTGGGTTTCTTCAGATACAAATTCCCAGAAGTGGAATTGCTGGGTCATAAGGTAGTTCTGTTTTTAATTTTTTGAGGTAACTCCATACTGCTTTCCACGGTGGCTGCACCAGTCTGCATTCCCATCAACAGTGCACGAAGGTCCCCTTTTTTTCACTTCCTCTCCAACACTTGTTGTTTGTTGATTTATTGATGATAGCCAGGTTTGAGGTGATATTGTTGGTTTTAATTTGCATTTTTCTGATAATTAGTGACGTTTAGCATCTTTTCATATGTCTGTTGGCCATCTGTATATCCTCTTTGGAGAAGTATCCAGACCCTTTGCCCATTTTTTAATTGGATTTTTTTTGGTGTTTCATTAATAATAGTTCTCATTACCTATGAAGTAGCAGTGGGCTCCTTACTTTATTGATGAATCAGAGAGGTGAAATGGTCCTACATCTAGGAAGTGTCTGAGATATTTAAACCTAAGCTGTCTGATTGCAAAGCCCCTTCTGCCACATCATACTGCTTCAGTGGGATAGATACGTTTTGAATATAGCCTTTCAAAGTATCTGTATGATCAGATTAAAAGTGATAGGCACAAAATTATTTTTTTTTAAACTTTTTAGCCCTAGCCAATTTGGCTCAGTAGTTAGAGCATCTGCCCACAGACTGAAGGGTCCTGGGTTTGGTTCCAGCCAAGGGCACGTGCCTCAGTTGCAGGCTGGATCCCGGACCTCAGCTGGGGCCTGTGGGGGAGGCAACCGATCAATGTATCTCTCTCACATCAGTGTTTCTCCCCACCCTTTCCACTCTCTCTGAAAAGCAATGGAAAAAATATCCTTGGGTGAGGATTTAAAAAAAGATTTAAATTTAAAAAACACTTCTAAAAAATGATTGTTGGACATGTTTAATATGTGTAAAAGATGTCATTGGTACACTTGTGTGTGTGTGTGCCTAACTGTAGCTTAACAGATTGTTTTCTCTGTAGTAGTTTTAACAATTATTAGTACTTGGCTTCATTTGTTTTTTAAAAAATCTGTATAAAAGTTATTAAAAGGTTAGTATCTCAAAAAAATCTCATTATAATAGTGTTTATATCTATTACAGGCAGTTTGTGACATACTTTGTAGCAAAACTTCATCATATAGTGCTGAAATTTATGTATTTTCCCTGTGCTAATTGTTTTCTTTGTGTGTTTTTTTCTTACAGAAAAAGATGGCAAAGCATTTCATCCAACTTATGAAGAAAAACTGAAGCTTGTGGCACTGCATAAGCAAGTTCTTTTGGGCCCATATAACCCAGACACTTGTCCTGAGGTTGGATTCTTTGATGTGTTGGGGAATGACAGGAGGTAACTGTTTTGTTGTATAATTAATTTAACGAGAATAATGTTGAATGCGGTACAAAGTAAATTGGTTAAGATGTAAATAGCTGGTTCATTAGCTTAGAACTGAAACAAACATTTTTGCTTTCAGCTTCTGGAGTCTTCAGATGTTTATCTCTTTTTGGCTTGGAGGTGTTTATGGCTAAATATTGTGGAAGAAGCTTACTCATCTGATTATGAACATAAGACAAGTACAGCTTCATTTGATTCTTCCTAATAATATTAAAAGCAGCCATTTAAAATATGTAGTAATTATTTCCTTATTGGGCCATATAGAGCTGTGACAAAAAAGAGTACACTGACTGTTCAATTAAGGCTAAATTATAAGTAAAACAAAACTCAGATACGCTTTTGCTAGTATGGAAATTATCAGTGCAGCTAAGTTGTATTTATAGTTTACGGAGTAAGTTTGGATTCTATGCGGCATACCCAATTTAGTGAATCAGTACATGCTTGTTGAAACTGGAAGTTTTGCGCCTTTTGTTGATAATAGAATTATTCTTCATTTTAGTTATGGTTGGGAATTGTTCATATTTAGGTTTCAATGAAATCAAATTCTCATTCTCTTAAGAAGAGGAGGTAACTTTTCCTGTTATTCCTTACAGGAGAGAATGGGCAGCTCTGGGAAACATGTCTAAGGAGGATGCCATGGTAGAGTTTGTCAAGCTCTTAAATAGGTGCTGCCATCTCTTTTCAACGTATGTTACATCCCACAAAATAGAGAAGGAAGAGCAAGAAAAAAAAAGGTGACATTTGAGGGCATGGAACACTTTATCCTTGTACAGCCCAGTATATTGATGCTTTTCTTTATGGCATGTTCTGAATCAGGTGTCTAACTGCCCTTGGCCCCGCAGTGATGGCAATTGTTCAGACTTCCTGATGTGAGCAGATAACTCATGAGTTTTGGGTAGGGGGGATGCTTCCTGCCTCCGTCTGGCTATACCTTTAAGAGGAACCACCTATCCATCATTGCAGCATTCTTTTTCTGTCATTACACTAAATTTTTGAGCAAGCACTATAAACTCAACCATCCTCTCCTCCTCACCCTCTGGTCTGACACACCCTTTGCGGCTGTCTCCCTTGAGTTTCTAGAATATTCATTCTTCATGTCATGGTTATCAGCTGTGCTATATGGTAGGCCTTATATAGACATTGCATATTGGTTCTGGCTTCCAGATGGCTTATTCATTTTTCCAGGGGCTGGAGGGGGAGCTGCTGAATGCACTATTTATATTTATGGGATTCTCTGTCATGATTGTGAATGCAGCGTGATTATAGTTAGCACCTTATTTATCTAGAGGTTGAATTTTCAATAACTTTGGCTATCTAAATTTTCTACATAATGAAAATGATGCTATAAAGCCAATTTTTTTCACTTTAGAAACAGTTGCTTCTCTGGTTTTCTCACCTTAACTTGGATTGGAAGTAATGGATGGAAGAGAAAATAGCCTAACAGTGAGGGAGAAGCCAGAAGCCATGAAAACTAGACACAAGAATTATAAAAGTGTGGCAGTCAGGGACCATTTAATGTAAGGGTACACTTCTCCATCACTGTATTAGGGCACATGCAATTTTTATGTTTCAAGTTATAACTCCCAAGTTACCCAAAGACAGAGCACTGGATATAATTTATTCCTTTTTAAGAGGATAAGAAGTAGTTTAATATGTTTTCGAAGATCGTTTTTATCCAAAGGAAACGTTTTGATTCAGATAAGAGTGGAATGAGTTCTCTTTATTAGAAAATTGATTTATGTGCTATGGTCCATTGTGTAGTGATGTTGGACCAATGAGGTATAGCTATAATGTCTTTGGAAATATGCTTTTTAAGTTCCTTTTTTAATGATAAGTTGAATATTTAAGTTACTGTTGAACATATAAAACTGCATTTTTCCTTTTAAAAATATACTTCTGTCATGAGATGAAGTCCATAGTGAATTCTTTTTAAGTGTGTAAAGACTAGATTTCCTTTGTCCTAAAGCTTGAGCTCTGGCTTATGGAACCTCTTGCCCTGTGCACCACCTGTGAAATATTAAAAGTAGGTCATGTTATTACTATATTTCGAGCCTTGGCTGTGGTTCAAATGTGTTGTTAATTAATTAATAGGAGTTTGGGAAGAAAAGTGAGGTAACCCAGACAGTGCCCATGGTAGGACCAAGAAATAGTGTCTATTCTGAGAACCCTCAGAAATCTCTCACCCCACCCTCAGCCTCCCTCTACGCCACTCGGCCCTGAGACACAAATCGCATCCATTCCTAGTGCCAGAGTCTCTTCTCCTTTGGGAAAGGGGTTTGGGACGGGGCTGCACCTTGATCTCCAAGTGTTCTTTTCTTAAAAGCTTTAAAATTATTTTTAGTTTCAGAAATAATGCACACATGTATGCAATATAAATTGTGTCTGTATAATAATGCACACATGTATGCAATATAAATTGTGTCTGAAGCACAGTCTGAAAACCTTCCTACCGTACCTTGAATCTCACTTCTCTCTCCATAGATAATAACTGACACATTTAAGGTGTGGTGTATCTTTCTAGATGTATTTCTATGTACTTACCTGCGTTTTATGTTAAATATGTTAAATGCCTTCACATATTAGGCCATTAGTTCTAGCTTTCTTTTATGGCTGCATGGCATTTCGGGGGGAGTTGTTTCTCTACAAATTTGTTGCCTGCTTGTCCTTTCCAGCACTGTGCTAAGCCCTGAGAGTGTAGTGGTGGGAGATAGGCCATCTCTGCCCTTATGCAGCATGTACATTCATGGGTAAGGCAGATATATTGCTAAATTTATCACGCAACTTTAATTGCAGTTACAGCAAGTAGTATGAAGGAAAAGCTTATGGTGCTGTGAGCGTGTATTAGAGGGGACCCTGAGGGCATGGGCGCATCATCATGATTTGAGTGGTGTCTTACCGATGGACACTTTTCTATTGCTGTGCAGCAGTAATCATTCTTGCCGTGGTCTTGTGTATCACGTGATCGACTGTGAGAAGTATGCAGCTCAGATTTTGATACTATCTCATGGTTCTCTGAAAAGTTTGTGCTACTTTTCACCGTGAAACCCAGCCTGCAGCTATTTGTGAGCAGGATGTTTGGTGCAGGGTTCATTCTCCCTCCTGTGCCTCATAGGAAGGAGGAGGAGCGGCGCAGGCGGCGTGAGGAGGAGGAACGAGAACGTCTGCAGAAGGAGGAGCAGCAGCGCAGGAAAGAAGAAGAAGAACGGCTCAGGCGCGAGGAGGAGGAGCGGAGGCGCCTGGAGGAGGAGAGGCTTCGGCTAGAGCAGCAGAAGTAAGCTTGTGGTTAAGGGTGCAAGATGGACGGCCATGCTGCTGGGACCTGACTTTTTACTGCTGTGCGCCTTAGAATAATTCTGATTTGTGTGACTGGGAGGCGGACCAACATTAGCTTCGCTCCATTTATATCGACGATGTGTTGCCAAAGACGGCCTCATCATAAGCAGCATTTGGTTGCAACAAGAGGGATGAATAGTATTGGAAGGGCTTGGGATTCGCTCCCAGAACCCAGGGACTAGGACAGGAGCTGAGGTTGCGTGCTTGCTCCCTTTCTGAGTCCATGTGATATCTTGTCTTTGCTTCTCAGCTTTGTCTCTGTTTCAGTCTTCCTGTTCTCTGCAAATTGTCACGGTCTGCTTTGGTGCACACAGGCTATTCCAGCCTGGATTTAGGTGGTTTTTGGTTTTGTGCATCTGAAAGAGACTGGTTGGAATCTGAGGGACCCAGTTTCAAACTCCTAGGACAGGGTATCTGGTTGGGTTAGCCTGTCGGGTGTCCTCTAATACAGGGTTTGGGAGCTGAAACTATTTCTTAGTAAGGGCTGTGAGAGCAACTGTCTCAGAAGCTATCGGTTCTAGAGGGAGCTCTGGGTACAGGGAGGAGGGGATTGATACCCACAAAACTCTGTGGGAAGAATGCCTGGGGTCCTAGGGCTGACATGGCATATAGATTAAACCAGAGATCATGGGAGTCCATTGATTTCTCCTCATTATTTCTGAGTCATTCCTCAGAAAAGCTTCACACCAACCCAGGGCCTCAACCAACTTTGAAGAGAGATGATGACTACTGCTCTACTACTCTGGACGTGGGGGCAATGTCATGTTGTATTCAGGAGTTTGTGAGACTTTGCTTTGTTATTTATCTATTAATAGATGGCTTTGAGGTCTTTGTTAAGTTGGTCATATAACTTAAGCATGTGGTTTCTATGTGACAAAAAAAAAATAAAAGAATTGTAATAGTTTACAGAAGTTAGTATCTTTGAACCAATTGTGTTCAGGTATTATTTTCAATGTTTCTTTTTAAGACAGGCTTTAAATGCTAAGGATCTACAAATTTTCACCAGCTTTATTTATACTTACCAGGGCCACCTGTAACATCTTTTTGCCGTTCTTCTGCGCCTTACTGCTTTTTGTGTATTTAGGTGGAGTAGCCATGGCCTGCAGGTGACTGCCATAGGCAGCAATCCATTCTCTTTCGGCATCACGGTTAGAGTGTGTAGGCTGGAGCCAGTCTGCCTAGTCTTCAGCTGGCTCTGGCATCTACTAGCAGGGTAATCTCAGTCAAGTCACTGACACCTTCATTGCCTCCTTTGTGAAGCCCCACCCCCAAGGTAGTTGTGAGAACTGGTGGGTCAGTACAGGGAAGTGCCTTGAACACTGCCTGGTACATGGTAAGGGCACGTGATGTTAGCACATGTGATGGTGATGATGATGTATTGTTTATTCTCTCTCTCCATCCCACGATTTCCTTGAAAATCCTGAGCAGAAAATTAGAGGCCAAGTTTATTTTCTTAAATCTTTCTTCTGGGCCTGGGGACACATGCCAACTGGTATACATTACTAGCTTAGTCATTTTAAGAGTTATAAGTTATAAAAATAAGTAACATGGACATTTTGTTTTGTCATGACCAATCTCCTGTAGTCAGACTAGTATATATTTTTTAATGTTTTTAGGCAGCAGATAATGGCAGCTTTAAACTCGCAGACTGCCGTGCAGTTCCAGCAGTACGCAGCCCAGCAGTATCCAGGGAACTACGAACAGCAGCAGATTCTCATCCGCCAGTTGCAGGAGCAGCACTATCAGCAGTATATGCAGCAGTTGTATCAAGTCCAGCTTGCACAGCAACAGGTATGATAGAAACCCAGCATTCAGCCTGAGAGAGGGTTTTTAGTTTCATTGGAACCCAAGTTCTCTCTTAACAGTTGCTGATGAATTTTGCATTAGCCTCTCAGGTATAAAGTAACTTTTAGGTGACCTTCATTAAGGGAGACTTTAGTGTGGCACTGGCAGTTATGAGAAAAAATATATGATCCTGAAGCAACAGATAATGTGGCCGCTATTATATTGTCCTAGGTGTATTTGGGAGTTGTGTGGACTGAGTGTCACTCCAATGAGTCTGACATAAGTTCTGATAGTCATCCTGGAACCAGGGGGACTTGGGTAACTAGCATTAGTTCAAGGATGTCCTTCGGGCAGTGCACTGTCATAGGCCCAGACAGCTTCCAGTGGGAGAACCCCAGCCCTTAAGGCTGTCTGCTGCGTTGGATCCATCCTGACTTTTGTGTTAAGTATAGTAGCTAGACTGTGCTCCCCTACGACACGTTGGTGTCCTTCTCTGGCTTCGTACTCCCAAATAGTTTGCTTCTACATGTGAGTAGGTGGTTTAGAGGAAAGAACATGGGACCAGGGTCAGATAACACTTGGATTCTGTCCTGGCTTTGCCATGACCTTGTTTGATCTCAGACAAGTTACCTTCTGCTCTGATTTTTCTGCCTTTTCTCCCAGTCGGTAAGAATGGGATATAAAATCCTGGGACCTGTCCTGTTAACCTCACAGGACTATGAGAGAGATAAAGTGAGGACATAGCTACTCTGTGAAAATGTTTTGTACATTTGGAAGGTAACTGATTTTACACACACTTTTACATTTTGCAGAGGCAAAAATGCCTCTTTAAACTCAATCTAGCTAAATTTTACTTAATTTAAGTAATTTTCACTTATAAAGCAGTTACCACCTGTCAAATCTGAGTGAAGAAAAAGATTAGCTCAACATTTCTTGTTAGATGAAGTAATCTTTGTTTTGCCAAGCTCTTTAAATTTCTTGAAAATTAATATTCTTACCTAAAATAACCTTGTGCCCCTGAGTCCCTAGCATTAGTGAGCAGTTGAAAAGCACTGCGGGGTCTGTGTCATCCACGAGAAGAGGAAAGGGATGCCTACCCAGAGCTCGTTCAGGCGAATAAGTGGTGTTCTTGAGGGATCTCTTTCTGTCCTCTAAAGCCTGTTTCTACCTTAGCACATCACTCCCTTTTTCCTGTTTCTTTGATGGGCATTCATATAATTTTTTATTAAGATACCTCCCATATACTGTCCTGTCTATTGGTTGCTTTCACTTAATGAGAATAAAGTCAAGTAGGGCAAAAGCAAGAAGCATTGAAACCTACCTGGAAAGCCATAGTTTAGATCACAGAGCTCAGCTCCGTGTATCAAATTGACTGGTTGTCTCTGGGAAGAGAGAAGGAAAAAAACTGGGGAAGGAACAAAAGGAACTGCAGCCCCGAAAAGTATTAATTTTTATATAAATACTGAGCAGAATGCCAAAATGCAAACATCTTGTTAATTTGGGGATGTAGTTACATAGGTGTTTGCTGCATTGTTCCTGTACCTTTCTGTGCTTTTAAAAACTTCCTAAAGCATAAAAGAGAGATCATGTATGTAAATAATTACAGTCTGTTATATACACTTGGTGCATGTTCATGGGCAGTGGGGTCCCAGGGAAAGGAGTTTCTGCTAGAAAATTTCAAAAAAGGCTTATTGGGGTGGGATCCTCTCACTGGACCAATTCCTCATCATCAGAAATGCTCGTTTACTCTCCTGTCGTGCAGTGAATGTTCTGAGTGTGCTGACTTGTTTGGGTTGTATGTACTTTTTCTGGAAGCTGGTACTCTTTCTAGAAAACTCACATGGAAATTACTGAGAATCTAGGCCTTGGAAGAAGGTATTTTAAATTTTTAAGTGTATTAAAATTTTAATAACTAGCAGCAGAGAGAGGTGTTGCTGTTTAAGTAATTGGTTTGAAAATAATAAGTTAAATGAAGTGTGTATACAGATAGGCCAACTACGTCATTATCCCTAAACCATGAGATTATAAAGGCTTTTTTCCATATTTTTTAACTGTGTAAACATATGCTCATTTATATTTAAAATCACTTAAATGCCCAACTGTGCATTAGTCAAATGGATAAATGAATTTTGTATTTTGACAATGGAATATTCTATAGCAATGCAAACAAACAAAATGCAATTACTTGTTACCCTATAGATGAAACGTCACAAAAATAATGTTGAGTGAAAGAAACCAGACACAAAAATTGCATATATTATACAATTCCATTTATATAAAGTTCAGAAATAGGCGAAGACTATAGTGTTGTAAGTCAGAATAGTTGTTACCCTTGGTGGTGGGGGGGTGGAAAGGGGCACCAGGGACAGTTCTGGGATGCAGATAATGTCTTTATCTGGGGGGTTGGTTACATGGGTATGTTTGATTTATGAAATGTGATCAAGTTGTATATTTATGATTTGTATACTTTTCTATATGTATGTTATAATACAGTTTAAAGTTCCCCCCAAAGTTACTTAAGGTATTAAGGTTACTTTGGTATTTCTAGTGGTATTAATATCGATCATCTTGTTGTAAGAAATAGCCCAAAATAATTGTCCTTTGGGTTCAAGATGTTTTTACTCTCCCATTTTGACTCAGAGAGCATTTTGATTTCATGTTTATGAATACGCATACATTAATCATAATTATGTAAACTGGTGGATTTTTATTGAGAGGATTTTGACCTCAAGATCCATTTTATAAGCCTGTTTAATTCTTAGGTAGATACTTTTTACAACATGATTAACAGCTTTCAGTTTAATAAGAATTTTTCTGTATATAGTTTACAGTGAAGATTTAATTTATTGACTTTTTTGCCCATATTAGAATAATTGTCCATATTTAATTTGTTAGTTACTTTGGAGGCCAATATCAGATTTTACCAATTACAGCTTTTGCCTTTGTGAATTTTCTGTGACCATTTATTCCTACCAAGTTTCATTTCCTTATTGAAATTTTATGCATCTGAATTTTATCTAGAAGATTTTCTTCTATCAATTTTACTGATAAAGTTTTACTGATTTGGTTTTATATTGTACTATTAATATTCATTATAGATAGGATAAAAACTGATAAAGTTTATTAGTAATCCCTTGGAGCATAATGCTTCGGTAGGGTTAAAACATGGGTCAGAATGCATTCTAGGGCATATGTCTCAGTTATTGGCCTTTTTCTTGACTTGTAGGCAGCATTACAGAAACAACAGGAAGTAGCAGTAGCTGGGGCCTCTTTGCCTACATCATCAAAAGTGAATGCAGCTGTACCAAGTGATAAGATGTCAGTTAATGGACAGGCCAAAACCCACACTGACAACTCTGAAAAAGAGCTTGAACCAGAAGCCGCAGAAGAAGTCCTGGAGAATGGACCAAAAGGTATGACATCCAGGTGTCAGATTTCAGACCTCACGAAAAGTGAACTCAGGAGGTCAGGTTAACTAGCATCTGAGAGCAAGTACATGTTTGTGAGAGTTGAATGCGTTTTCACTCTTTTTAGTCTGAATCTAATGTTCTGGTGACCCTTAGAATAGTGTAGAAGGGCAAATAAGATATATACTAATTGTGTGTATTGGTTACCTGTTGCTATGTGACAAATTGTGCCCAAATTTAGCAGCTTAAAATAATAATAAACATGTATATCTCACACCGTTTCTATGGGTCAGAATTCAGGAACAGCTTAGCTGAGTGGTGGTGGTCCTGGGCTCTCGCGAGGTAGGCCGTGTTGCACTTGGTGCCTAAGGTGGTTCTATGCAAATGTTGCTGCCTGCAGGTGAAGGCTCTCCTCTGTAGCTTTTGTAATTTCTGTTGTCTTTAGACTCTCTTCCAGTAATAGCAGCTCCATCCATGTGGACGCGACCCCAGATCAAAGACTTTAAAGAGAAGATTCGGCAGGATGCAGATTCCGTGATCACGGTGGGCCGAGGAGAAGTGGTTACTGTTCGAGTGCCCACCCATGAAGAAGGATCGTATCTCTTTTGGGAATTTGCTACAGACAGTTATGACATTGGGTTTGGGGTATATTTTGAATGGACAGACTCTCCAAACACTGCTGTCAGCGTGCATGTCAGTGAGTCCAGCGATGACGAGGAAGAGGAGGAAGGTAGAGCCATTAGTCCATATTCGGTCGCTCCTGGGCCGTGGGTGGGCAAATACGGCAGCTGTTCAGAGGTCAGCCGGCCTTCCACTTCCTGATTAACACTCACGGGCAGGGACCACTTCCTTCATTGGCGGGACCTAGGGCTGGAAAGGTGGTGAGAGAGGCCAGCTCCTGTAGGGGACTGGTGCTTGAACGTGAAGTGTTGTTTTTCTTTTGAATGCCAAGGTCTGTTTAGCCATTTATTTTCTGCTTTCTGAATACCGTTTTACTTCAGCTTTGTGTGTGTGTATGGCTAAATGCGAAAGGTCATTTTGAAAAATTTTCAAAGCAAAGGAGCAAGCAAGAAATTCTGCCACCTTTGGAATTTATTTAAATTTGTTTCTCATGTTAGCTTTTTAGGTCATTCTAAACTTTTTTAATGTAAATATAGAAACTCACCAGAATACCCTACCTTAAAAAAAAAAAATTTGCTCTCTCCTGTTTTACTAGAGTGTAATTTTTTATTTTCTCTAAGGAGACAAAATTGTTTCCAAGGACAGCCTAAACTACCTTCGTCTAGGAAGTAGGTTGTAAAATGTATTGCTTATTGAGAAGATGGTCCCCTTAATATGGTTAGCTAGCAAGTTAGATCTCAGGGCTTCTGTACACTGTACCTAGTAAGCACTGAAATATTTGCTGCCTCGGTTGAGAATGATATGGAAGGAACGCCTGACTGTGAGGATGGAGAAGCACCCTCTCAGTCCTGGGAGCTCCCTTTTAGGCAACTTGTAAACACACTGCTTGTTCCTGAAGCGGGTTGGGAGATTAGATTGGGGTAAATTTAAAGAGGCCCAGTCATTGGAAGTGTGTGGAGGGAGGCTGTAAGTTCAGTCAGCTTTTGAGATATGCAGTGTAGTCATGTTAGCACACGGTGCCACAGTCTGGGCCCATGCATGGAGACACACTGGCCAGTGTCATTTGGGAGCTGCTGTGTCTCATGGCATTTTGTCTTTAGCAGTCTTTATTTCTGAGTGCCACTAGCAAGGTAAAACATTGTCCACACATACTACTTACTTAACCAACAAGAAAAAAAAATACAAGTGTGAAAGAAAACAGAGGAGAGAGAGACCTGAGCAGAGCAGGTGCCTGTACCACTGTCTCAGCAACATCAGGACCAGGGACTGAGCCCTGCACTGGTCTTTCTGGTGTATCACAGAGGCTCATTAGAACCAGACTGTTCGCAAATGTATGTGAAGGAAAGTTTGTGTGTGTGCGTGCGCGCGCGCGCCTGCCTCCTCACAGAGGCTACTGAGCCACTAAGTCTTGTCCACATTGTATTTTATGGGAATCCTTTTAGCTTGAGTGGATGGAAGAAGAGTCTAGTTTTCTTGTTTGTTGCTTTGTTTTTTCTCCATTAGGCCTTGAAAGATGGAGGGGTTTCTTTTCTCTGAAGTATGGATGGCTGGTAACCCATCTTCCTACTGTAATTCTCCACTTTCTTGTTTCTAGGTCCCAAGTTCGCTTAAATTGATGAAAGAGCATTGTTCATCTATCCTCGTAACCTTTAGCTTTATAGAGTGTGAACAAAGTTTGGATCTTGAATTAATGGACCAATAATCTGTTTCATAGATACCCTTATAGTCAATAGTGTACATTTGGAATGGATCTGTGTTTCTCATTTGTAAATGAAGGACATTTACTTTTAAGTATTGCTTTGATCAAGCAAATCTGATTTAGGCCTATCTATAAATGCCATCTACTTTTTTAACAACTTTTTATTTAGAATAGTATTTAGATTTATAGGAAAAGTTGCAAAGATAGTACATGGAGTTCCCATATTACACCCCGACCCTCCCCACCCCTGCACCCAGTTTCCCCTATTGTTAATCTTACATTGTACTGTGGTACACTCATCATAACTCATGAACCAGTACTCATGCATTATTATTAACTAAAGTACATATTTATTCACATTTCCTTAGTGTGTACCTAATGTTCCAGGATCCCATCCAGGATGCCACATTATATATGTAGTTCATTATCATATTGCCTTAAGCTCCTCTAGACTGAGAGAGTTTGTCAGACTGTCCTTGTTTAAATTCCTGGTAGTGGCCGTTGACCTTCATCATGCAGTTAACTCACTAAAAGTCACTCTGCCATGTTATAAACCTGAAAGTCTTTTATCTTCTCTGCAGAGTATTCTTTTGACCTATTTTCCTTGAGGCTGTTGACTCTATTAAACTGAGACTTTTAAGCTGGTTTATAATTTTCTCATCCCTATAGGTTTCTATAAGTATCCCCCCGCCCCCCATATCATTACAGTTCAGAAAACTTATTAACTGGGGCAAACCTAGAATCAGAGTTCATATTTTTGTCACTGGATCCATCCCTAGGTTACACAGGCCTAGTGAAAATAATTGAATTTTCAGTGTCTCTGAATGCCTACCTACCTCTCTTGTGGTTTTCTCATTTTACTCCTTATAGATAGAAAGAAAATAGTCCTCATAGATTCCCTTCCTTCCTAAAACAGAGGACCTCCAGATTGTTGAGCAGGAGGAGGATTTCTGTGATCTTACTCAGATGAGCAAGATTCTTCCTCAGTAGGAATTGGGAATTGCATGGATGTGGAAGGAAAAAGTGGGCTCAGAAATAGGAGCAATGATCAGAGTACAGATAGAGGATGCCTCCGCTCCCGCCGCCAGGTGTTCACTGCTGGGCTCCCAGGGCCCAGGCAGTGCTTGGTACATAGCAGTGGCTCAGACGTGTGAATGAAAGGATGAATGAATGAGTCCACCAGCCAACCAGTATATGCTAAAACGCACATAAGTCATACGATAGATCAAGTGAATTTATTTGCCTTTTTTTTTTTTATAGTGAATTCTTGATGAGCAATTTCTGAAAGAAAGGATGGAGTTTCAGTGCTTGATGCAAATGTGGTTTTCCTGGATCTGTTCATGACTTGCCTCTGTTCTTTCTCACAGAAAACATCAGTTCTGAAGAGAAAGCCAAAAAGAATGCCAACAAGCCTCTGCTGGATGAGATTGTGCCTGTATACCGACGGGACTGTCATGAGGAAGTGTATGCCGGCAGCCACCAATACCCAGGGAGAGGAGTGTATCTCCTCAAGTTTGACAACTCCTACTCTTTGTGGAGGTCAAAATCAGTCTACTACAGAGTCTATTATACTAGATAAAGGTGTTACTGCAGAGTCTGGAGTCTAGGGTTGGGCAGAAGATGGCATTTAATTTGGAAATTTCTTTTGACTTTTGTGGAGCGTTGCAGTCAGTGTGTGCCCTATTGGTTTTGGTCTGATGGTTTGTGAACTCTTGTTGGGTATCAGGATTTCCTTGAGACTCTTTAGCATTAATACTTGGGGTTAAAGGGATTCCTCAGACTTATCCAGCCCTTGGGTGCTGACCAGCAGAGTCACTAGTGGATGTTGAAGTTACATGAGCTACGTGTAAATCACTAAAGTGTCCAAAATAAACATCCCAAGGTTGACCCCAGCTGGGTTAGTCCGTTGCCGCTACATGTGATTTATGAGAGCCCACAGTTACAGCGCCCTCTTGTTTGAATTCCTTAAGTTAATATTCTACATGAGGTACATCTGACTTGGAAGATCACCATTTTTAAAACTTAAAAACTTGAGACCTCACAGATTATAATGGGGGAAAAATTGCTTCAATTTGATCTGGTTGTGAATGATCCATTGTTTTATGCTTTGGGTACAGCTGTTTAGTTCCGAGTTATATTACAGAGTTATTTTCTGAGATAATCTTAAAATAGAATGTCTAAATCTGATTGCTGATCAATGTATCAACATACATAGAACACCTCAAACATCCATCTAAGCAAGCCTCCACAAGCTCATGGTCCTTTTCATTGGTATTTATACTACCTGTAGTGGAGTAAAATTGACTCATTTTTGCCTTGATTTGGCTTTACAGAGCATCTGAAATTGAAACTGTTTTCTACACAAGCATATAGTTAGGGATTTTGTAAACTCGAATTGCCACCTATGAATTAAAAAATATAAAATCATTTAAATACAATTCAGTGTCTGAAGAAGAGCATTGCACTAACATGGAAATCACTGCCAGAGATGGTCCATTTTTAATTTGTTACTACTTAGACACAAACCCTACACGGTTCCAGTTTGGAATTACTGGAGAGAATTGGAAATGCATATGCCAGTGCTTAAATTTTTTATAGCTTTAATCTATATTATGTGTTTATCGATGGCAAGAGGCACACCTTTGTTTTCTTTACTGAAAACAAATATGGATTAATTGCCTCAAATATGTATAAGTGATTGACTAGTCTAGCGATTCTTGTTTTCAGAAGGGAGGGTAGTACAGATAGAAAATGACAGCGATGGCAATATACACATGTAATGTTGTTACTATATGTTGTTACTGAAATACTTAGATTTTTACAATTTGAAATCATAAGTCACTTCTCCTAGGAGGGTTTCCATTGATTAGCTGCAGTATATACAGTTCACTACATAAGGAAGGGGCTGTTGGTTTTTGTGTGCTGCATTTCTTTCTGTTTTTTTAATACCTGGTTTTGTACATACTAATTAACTATTCTCTTTTGTTTAGAAACTGGATTATTTTTCCTAAGAAGTGCTTACCCTGTGTTTTTCATTTTGATTCAGTAGTCCCAGCTCATAGATGTCCATACTGTTACATTAGAACACTTACCCGGCTTCCCATCAGCTCTCATGTATATATGGTCTAGAAACCACTGGGTTAGGCACTTCCGGGCTTTTTTTTTTTTTTTTTAAATGAGAAAATACTGTATTTAAAATGTAAAATAAACTTTTAAAAAGCAGGCACTAATATATATTTCTTCCAGCCTTTGATTACAAACTTGTCCTTGCACATGTTAAGATGTATTACCTTCTAAAAATATCGTTGTTCTTGGGAGCAGTGTGTGTTACTTCACATAGCAATGGTTCCTGTCGAGTGTCCATGTCAGAACATTTTGGGTTTAAACTTTTATATTGCCTTTGGCTGTTGATTAGTAGAGTTCAAATGAGATTTCAAAAACATCTTGAAAATAATATATTTAATCAATTAAAATGTTTATCTGTAACTTGTTGATGTTTCATTGACACAGTTCCTCTCTGAAGCATTAGTTCTGCATCTTATCACTTGGGTAGGACAAAAAGAAATGTTTTAAATGATCTTTTCTGTTTTAAAAGGTTAAAAAAAACAACAGCAGACTACTTCTGGCTGATTATTTAGTTTTTGCTGTGAATTACCCCAGTGAGTTAAAACAGATTAAAAATTTTCAGGCTTCTTGGTGGAAAGGAAAGCACTGATTTTTTCTTACTGAAAATGGCTTCTATAAAATTATTTCCCCTTTGCCAGTTGTGCATAGATGGTCCTCGAAGTACATGGAGATGGCCTGCTTTAGAACAGCCCCTGAGGTGTGGCCTCAAGGGGATGCCCAGCCAGTGTGGCGTGGAGTGCCGGAAACGTCTCAAAATGCCCCCTCTGAAGTGCAGGTTCTCAGACATTGATGTTTTTTTTTCTTCTGAAATTTGGAGAGACAGAAAGAGGTGGTCATCTTGGTTTTTTGCTATGCTGGGGACCCTGAAGGCAGACCAGAGAACAGGGAGATCTGCTGGATGAGCGCACCTAGGGAGCCACGCTGCTGAGCCTGACCCATTTGAGGGAAGGGGAGAAGCAGCTGGTTCAGAATCATAAATGATTGCTAACTATTCCTTGGGGCTTAGAGTACAACAGTCTACAACCAAAGCCATCTTTGTGCCTGTCCCCAACTTTTTCTCAGTTTACCACTTCTGTCGGCAGCCTAAAAGTGTGAGCGTGTGTGTCTGCTTGGGGTAGAGCAAATCTTCATTTCTGTTTACTAACTTTTCAGAATGTGAGTGAGATCAGTATTGGACTTTTCTCATATATGTGCCTAGGATTCTTCAACTTTCTTATTGAAAGTTTTTAAAGACCAAGTTGCTTATTTGCCTTTTTAACACTCTTATTTTGAATGTATTACACTGTCATTTCAGGTGCTTATTTTGCTTAATTTGTTTCATAATGAAAGAGGGAAGCGTTAGCTCCATTTTTGTTAGTTGATATGCCACTTGTAAGTTGTGATATGATTAGGGTACTTAATTCAGTACCAGGAAACTAAGTGGCTGACTTTTCTAGAATTAACATTGGCATTTGGCCGTCAAACCTAGGGGTCAGAGCAGTTAACTCATCTCGTAGCTATAACTAAAGCTTGTGTGTGATGCTAGGTTCAACCCTCCAGTGAATGGTGACTGCAGGTCTGTTTATGAAAAGAACATATACAAATTCAATTACAAATGCTGATTTTTAAAAACCTTTCTTTAATGGCATGTCTATACAACAGTTTTTACGCTTTGCCAAGATTAAATATCTCCAGTTGTAGGTACATACAGTTCGGGGTGGGGTGCATGTCAAGATATGGAAATGTAAGCATGTTTCATAAGGTCTACATTTTGCAACTTTCAAAATTCCAGGCTGTGTTAGGATTTTTCTTGTTAGTAAGTATAGGTTTACTGTGTTCTTTAAATCTGATGTGTGTTCTGTAGAGTGGCTCTTTGGCTGTTTTTTTTTATTGAATATTTTAGGTTACTTTTTTTAATGTAAGTGGTGTTCCAGTGAACACCCTTTTGTATCTTTCTGCAAATTTGCATGAGCTTTTCAAGAGTAGATACCAAGAAGTGGAATTGCTCGATCCTAAGTTCTTTGAATTTTTAATTTTAATAGACCCTGCCTAATTGTACTCCAGAGTGGCTGAACTAAGTTGCCCTCCCATTGGTTGTGTATGAGGGGGGAAAAA